AACTGCAGTTTATTAAGCAGTTTGTTAAAATTTATGACTCCATATGACTCCACAGAGCCACCCAGTGGACAAACAGAAAACTACAAGAACAAGTTTTCAGTCCTCAGCAGTACACTTTGAGCACAGGTCAGTGTTCAGGGGCTGTTCTCCTCTTTTAGTAACTATTCAGTATCTTTCTATAAGCAGAAGTTGTACATGTCAACTTCATCAATGCTAACAAATTACGTCTGGTCACAGGTTCTCCTGGTTTCAGAAAATCCATGTGGCTTCTTCTCCTGCAGTGTAACACTGGATGTTTACGCTCTTAGTTCTTCATGCAGATCATGACCTGAACAGCACCTGGACCAGGATCTATTCATCAGAACCTACAGCTGCAGACCTCACAGGTTATTAGAAAGCGACAAAGTAACGACTCTTAGTTCATGTAAATATAGTGGTTATTACTGCAGACCGTTAGACATTTCTGACTTTATCACACAACAGAAAGGATAAACAAGGATTGTATTTCTTTTACGCTCCAGCAACCCCAAAGTTTAAGCCTACGTTATTTAAGCCTATAACTAATCCATTAGTGTAAACAGGCAGTAACTTAATCAACCCTCCCAACCTCAAAGTACAGCATGTTTTCTTTAAAAACTCGATAAAATTTGGACCATTCATCTGAACCAGAACAGAACCAATCATTGGATTTTCAACTTTCTGACAGGTGTGATTCCATCAGGAACAACATCCGTCCATCCATCATCTATACACCCCTTAATCCTCACTAGGGTCATGGGAGGCTGGAGTCTATCCCAGCTGACTCAGGGTGAAGGCAGGGGACACCCTGGACAGGTCACCAGTCTATCACAGGGCTACACTTAGAGACAGACAACCAAGCACACTCACATTCACACCTACGAACAATTGACAATCACCAATTAACCTCAACATGTTTTTGGACTGTGGGAGGAAGCTGGAGAACCCAGAGAGAACCCACGCTGCACGGGGAGAACATGGAGACTCCACGCAGAGAGATCCCGGGTGTCCTCACCGGGACGCGAACCGGCGACCTTCTTGCTACGAAGTGACGATGCCCTCATCAGGAAACACCAATAATCGAAATCACTTTATTTAACACATCAGGTTTATTATACACGTCTTCAACTGTCCCAAAATAAACCACCTGCACCAGATTCTGTCAAGAACCAAAACAACTCTGGGCTCCTCAGTGCAACTTTGTGACCAACAGTCACCTGGCAAAAAACTCAGACAGTTTTCAGACGAACTGCAGGCTGTGTTTACACAGAGCAGATGAAACTAGGATGATGAAAATAAAACAGATTTGATTGATAAATTAAAGGCTGCATGGCGCAAAATAGGAAACAGAAGTTGTTGAGAGATACATTCATGGTGGAGGATCTGTCTGGGGTGCAGAGCAGTGTGAAAACACCCTGCAGAGGTTGCAAATATGTAAAAAATTAAATATATATAGCATGTGGAGCTGTATTTTATTTTTTGTAAAATATACGGCTAAAATCTAAACATGATGCTGCTGAAGGAAAATATATGATATCCATCCACTTTACAATTGTTCCCTAAATCACATTAAGCTCACTTTCTTCATTAACCGCACAGCACAAATAAATGACTGATGACACTCCGTCTCTTGCTCGACTGATTAATTAATTAATGCTAAGCACTGCTTTGTGAGATTATTAGTTGAAGCAGTTTTAGGAGAAGGACTAAAGGATCTAGATGTGTTGCTTGGTTACAAATCTCTCGTAGTTAATTGTGTGTGAAGGATATAGCAGAGTCTAATTTGCTTGTTTACGATGATGGGGTCTAAGAATCACAGCTATTTATTAAAGACGTGTTAATGTTTGAAGATTACTCACCACGAATAATTGCTAATATTCCCTACTTTTGACTTGCATCCTGAACTTGGATGCAAATGAAACTGTGCGTCAATAAATTCTCATTATTTTGTTGTGTTCTGACTCATTTGCTGCCAAAATAACACACAAACAATTTAGGATTTGGACAAACTCAAAAAAAAAAAATATCAGAAGAAAATAAAGACTCGGTTTAATTCCGACTAATGATAGAGCAACATAAAAACATGAAACACCAGCTGAGCGACTGAGTGCAGCTCACATCAGCTTCTCATTAGTGGTCGGTAGCCGCCCTTCGCTCTATGCCATCATTTTCACCACCACTCCAATAATGTGGCGATTCTCGCATTAGAGACGTCACTGGAGTTGTTTCCATCTGCTCCGGCCAAAAATATTCCCCATTTATTACTTTGCGTCGAACTAAATGGACGAATTAGTGGCTTTTTTTTAAATGTGGTATCAACAACTCAATTGCACTTGAGCTGATAAATAAATGATGGACGTCCTTCATATGAAGACACCTTTTTATTGTATCTTTGGAAAGCGATGGCCATGAGACAGAGACAAAATGATTCCTCGTTTACATCACTGTCTTGCTGTAATGGTGCTTTCACATTACTTTGATGCAAAAAAAAAAAAAACAGATCAAAAAAAGCTGCTTGCGAGGCTGCTGCTGGTCGACCCTTTACCGTGACGTAGATCTCGACTGGAGCAAGAAAAAAAAACGTTCAAATTCTGGATCACAACACGAGTATTCCCTTTTTCTTTTTAAGGCCTTTGCTGTTTATTCATTTTTTTTTCTTCCTACAACAGCAAATTACAGAAGCAGTATTGAAAATAAAAGTCTTATTTTCTTGTTTTTGTAAAAAAAAAAAGAAAAAAAAAAAAGAATCTGCACAAAATTTGAATGACAGTACAAAACGAAGCGTTAGTATGCCATGTAAAGGTAGGGGAGGGACATTACCGTTGAAAAATCTATTATGCCTTTTTCAATAATGAAAACATCTCAATATTTTTACATTTCAGAATTATATCACATAATCTGAAACTATATATATATAAAAAAGATGAAAGAAAATGAACACGTGTTTTTTGTGTTTTTGACTTTCTTCCGTTTTTTTTTTTTTTTTTTTTTTTGCAAATGAACGCTATAAACACATAAACCTCTTAAATATATTTGTCAGTGCAACATTGGTTCTTTTGAGTCCACGCTACAGTATCCTTTTTCTCTAGCTGCTGCAGCTACCTACAGCTGAAAGCGAGGACGGGACGGTGTCGAAGGCTGAGGAGAGTTGGGCCGTCGAATCGGAAATGAACAAGCTGAGAATGTGTTCACCACGGCACGACATACAAAGCACACGGATGTAAAAAGACGCCACCCTTCTCAGGAGTAAGTTTTTTTTGATTGATTGTGGTGCGTAAAAACCACAGAGTTCCGGGACCCGATGGCCCTCGTGTCCTGATGCTGTCGATCTGACGAGGAGCTCGATCAGAATTCTTGCCCCCTTTGTGATGGCGGGACTGTCCCTCCCATCCATCTGCAAACAAGAGTCTCAACAGAGATTCGAAGAGTTCACGTCGTGGTGACATTTGCACTTCTTTTAAGCTTAAAAAGAGATAGAAAAACAGACGCACATTGCTCTTCTCTACAAGTGTCCTGCCGTTCTCCCTCCTGATTTTCTCTCAGGGGTCTCTGACAGGGCAAAGCAAGTAGTCAGTTCTTTAGTGAGAGGAAACCGTCGATGGACTGTGTTTTTTTTTTTTTTTTTGAGTATGTTGTGTGTTGGTGAGAACCCCCAGCGAACAGGGGCGACCATCCTTTGGTAAAGCCATGAAGGGAGGCCAGGTGACCTGATTCAGGTGATGCCGCTCGATCCCCACGCTGTACCAGTGTCCCATCCTAATGACATCAACTCTGACATCACAACATTATGGCTGCTACACGTGAAACACGTAAAACTCTTTGCGGCCCGAGAGGCCTTGAAGCTACACTACAGCATGTTGACAATACAAACTGGGTTTATCATGAGATACATGTGTCTGGCTAGATTACGGATAGCACCATTCTTCAGTTAGTGTGTTTAAACCCTCTTTTTTAACAGAGTTTGATCACGAGGGAATCAGAAACAAAGTGCATTCAAGCTGCATTGTCCAGATAGCACTTCTTCAGTGAACAATCCACAGTGACGTTTGGAGGTGATGAGCTAGCCTAAAGCAAAACAATGAGAATCTTTTTTTTTCTTTTTTTTGGTATGCTGGTACATATTTAATATATTTTTACCACCTTCTCTGCCATCGACATGAGAATGTTTGAAGCTATCTGAAAACATTGTAGTGACCAGTCACAGCAGAGACGTGATGCAGTTCAGTAGAAAAAGAGCTCTGCGAGTTCATCATTTCCGCTTCTTTTTTTTGTGTGTTACCATTTGAGTCATTCGTCCTTGGGTGTTGTTTTTCATGAAGCGCGTGTTTTGATGACAGATGGCTTGAATGCACATTGAAAAATCGCCGTAACATCACACAAATCCTGCTTGCCTGAGCAACGTAATCTAAAATGAACACTGCACCTTCCACGAAACAGTCAGAAGATTGTATTTACACACACACAAACCCATGAAAAAAGGGATACTGCAGCTTTTTTCCTTTTTACTTTCTTTAAAAAGGGCAATAAAATATATTAAAACTTATTTACAGTGTGTGGTTTTTTTTGGCCGGAAAGGACCACCGAAAAAAATAAACAAACAAACCCCAAAACAAAGCGCTGTGATAAACTGTTCTCCTGTGTCGCAGGTATTTAGAAGATAATGTGCCCCTGTTTCCTGTCATCATAACTTAAGCCAAGTACAGTAAAAAACACCCATGTCAACAGAGGAGTCCAACCGAAATGTACTAAAGGCACTGTCAGAACCATACATTGCCATGAATGGGACCTTCACTTTAGAGGGATCGGGGTCAAAGGGGAAGCGGGTACAAGTTTCAGGGGTCATGGGTTATGGGCACACTCTGTATGCCTCGCCATGGGGCACCTCTACAGCTTTGCCGGATATGGTTCATTTAGGATACGTCTCTTTCAAAACTCGAAAAGAAACAACAGCTTTCATGAACTGATAATAAAACAAAACAACATTTCTTTCCCAGAAAACGATAAATACTTTAAACATTATTAATAAATTGGTCTCAACACCAGCATCCGATTGTAAAAATGAATGAAAATCAAAATAGAAAATTAAAATAGCATCTAAATCATCTGTACATATTTTTTTTTCTGTATTTTATTTGTACACAGTGTCCCCTACTGGTGGGTTCTTTATACTGCAGCTCCTGAGAAAAGCGTGGATCAGTCCAAACCTCCCATTGGTTCCTGAACCTGGCCCTCATCCAGTGAGTTTGAGGGTGTTGGCAGTCCTTTTGAGCCCGCCTACTCGCAGATAGACGAGAGGTCGTGTCTAGAGACAGTCTTGCGCGAGCTCTGCCCGCCGTACAGTCACGTGAATGCACTCAGCCCCGGCTCACGCCTCCGAGTACGAGCTCTGTACATTGAGTTTGTCTTTCTTTAGTTTGACACCGTCCACTAATTCAAAGTTATAGTTCTCCAGAGCTGATAAGTTCCTGTCCGACATGCCCCCGTGTGAGCAGGCGCAGTACAAGACCACGCCGCAGATGGCTCCCAGGAAGACCCCCAGGGCGGACATGGCGATGATGGTGATGAGGATGGGGTCGAGCGTCTTCAGCATGTTGCCCGCTCCGCTGATCTGATTGGTTTCTACGAAGTCCGGATATTCTGTGATTTCCTCAACTGGAGGGGAGAGACGGAAACAGAAGAGGAGAATGAGAAGTGAGGTCTAATATAAACTGAGGAGAGTTCGCAAATGAAAAGGGATGGTGTGAAAAACACGGCGTGTGAAATGACTCACGGATTTCATTGAAGCCATCCTCTGGTAGCATCGGCTCAGTGGGCACGTCAGGATCTTTAAACAGAAATTCTAATTAAATTCAATGCCAAAGGAAAATAAACCGCAGTCAGACCTGTATAGTCCTATTTCACATCGAGAACTGAATGCAGCCATCGGAGCTATGAGCACTAAAAGCCTCACCTTTACAGTCTGGCATGCTGAGTCCATTTAGAACCTTAATGTCATCCACAGCTATGTCTCCCCAGCTCTTTCTTTCCACCATACCTTCGATCACCACCTTCAAAAAAAAGCACAGAGTGACTTTTCAGCTACCTTTTCTTGGGCGACACAATGGAAAGAGCAAATGCCCAAACCAGGTACAGATTGAAAGGCGGTTCGGCTTTTCTTCTAAAATTCATGAGAATTTTGACGTACCTGATAAGGTTTGTTGGTGCGTGGAACGAGGACACGACCTTCCCTCCACCGGTTGCCTTGGTGACCACTGACCGTCCACAGCAGGATGTCTGCAGGTCCGTCCACTGTCTGTTTGCGCTGTTTGATATGTAGTGTGCCGATGTGCGACCCGAACATGTGGTACCAAAAGGACACGCACAGGTCAGAGTCTGGGGAGCTGACCACAGGACTGACGAGCCGAGCCACCTCGGTCTCTTGGGGACCCGTCGCTAAGGTGTAGATGAAATTCCCTGATCCACCTTTGTGACACAAATAAACTTGCATCAGTGAAATGAAATCAGACTTTCCGCATGAAAGTGAAGGTTGTACATTTTTTTTGTATGCACCAGCATCCTTTAGAGTCTCACCTGTGTGGTCCATGTTGGGTCCGGTGTTGAGGGTGGGGGTGCCGCTGGACTGAATCTGCCACTTCGAGCCAGTGTCCTCTGATGTCCAGCTGCAGAAGGAGGGATCGTTGGCCCAGCCAAAGTCGCAGGCGAACCACAGGAAGGCTGCAAGTGGGTTGAAGAAAATGTCAAGATCTTGTGTCACAGGAGATCAAACTAATCATCCTTATTAAAAAAAAAGGAAATTGCCAGTAGCTCTGGGCTTCCCCTGAACAATGACCGCGGGGCCTGTCATGATATGACTACAGGCTATTCGTTCGTCTACTTCTTCCTATTACTGTGATCAGCTACAAGCACTAGAGGGCAGCAAAGAATCATGGGATGTGCGCTTAGAGACCCACATGTTGGGGAGGTTGTAATTGCTAAGTCAGGAGCCAGAAACAGATTGGGATAGAAGGCAAATTATGGCTCTGACATGAAAAAGAGAGTGAACTGACAGCGAAGACCTCATGCAGACCTTATATCTGGGCTGTGTTTAATGATCTCTTTTAATGAATGTAACAGGGTATGTAAAGAACGGACAGAGGGAGAAACTGAGAATAGGCACAGCACAACGACGGGGACAGGAAGACACAGTCTGGACACGGTGTCCAGTTCAGGAAGAAACATTCATAGCAACCCGCTGAGAGCTGAGGATTTTAATGAGAGCAGGGACTTGAGATTCGAAGACAGCTATGGTAACAGTGCCGGGGCCCCACTCCAACAATGCAATCCCCCATGGACACACGCCGCGCTGAAGGAGCCTCCATAGTGGCCAGAGTATGTGTGGGAGCTCCGGCTTTAGTGTTTTTCAAATTACACGAAGAAAGACTTCCAAGGAACACAAGGGACCGAGATATTTGGGATGTTAGCCATGGCTTTATCCTCCAGCGTGAGATGCCTTTCGAGATACGGCTCTCCAAATGACAGAATATACCAGCCAATATTCCCTTTAATAATGGGAAGGCTTTAACTAGCTTCTGCAGACTCTATTTACCCATTAAACACAAAGGATGGAATTCCCATGTGGAACCACATTTCAGCCTCCAAGCCCCTTTTCTTGCATAGAAATCTCATTCCCAATTAAAAAGGCTTTGGCTTTTCTTTTTTTTTCTTCTTGTTCCATTACGGGGAGGCTTTGACTGAAGCTACCAACAAGCTCTGGATAAGATGAGCAGCCACATGACTCATTTGGTCATTTCATAAAAGGAAAAGAGACTTTTTTCTTGCCAAATGCCAACTTAAGCTACATCCATGGAGATCAGGGTGCGTGGCACACACACACAGAAAGCTTATTAGCATGCATGGTTTGAGATTCATGAATAGTAAAGTCAGACAGATTAGTGTTTACCCACAGTCACTTGGTTACATCTATACACAAATGCACATATGCATACATGCATACACACAGCTGCACCTCAGCTCTCATCTATTATCGTTGCTGCTGCCCCAGCAGACTGCAGACAGACCACAGAGCCAGCTGATTGAGCGAAGGGGGCTGGGTGGAGCCCATGGCCCATTAGCCAAGGTCAGACTGGGGCACAGCCTCTCAGCTGGCTGCTGCCTCATCAACCTGCTATAGGAGACACTGCTATGTGTGTTTTGTCCGTGCATGTGGCCCCAAAGTACGCCTAATTTCCTCTGGTCATTTGCATTGTGCTTTCCGGTTTTGTGCTGTGGAGTGTGTGTGTGTTTAGTGTGTGTCAGTGTCGGCCCAGTGATTAGTGATTATGCTGAGAAGGCAGCAGCAGAGCACCAGTGCTAATCATCAGCTAGCCTTGCATCACACAACCTCCCTCGCCCTGTCAGCGGCAGCCTCTCAGGGCCGTATCATCAGCTTTAATAACAGACACACATCAGAGGAGAGCAGCCGCCTTGAGCTGGCAATCATTAGCTAAGGTACACGTCTAGATGAATCTATAGAAATGAATTCAAAACAAACCTTGAGCTGCTAAATATTTACTCTTTGTGTCAGCAGTCTGGTGCATAATCTTTATATTCAGTGGTAGGTAAGATGTGGGGTTGTTGACTGGGAAGAAAAATATATAATCTTTTTTGCACACCTGGGATGGTATCCACTTCAGCAGTAGTGGTCTCCGGCATCATGGTACCACCTGTCACAACACAGAACATTTGCATAGTTAGCCTTGCATGTAGTTACGTTCCTTTACTAACAACTGCACTCGTGCACTTAATGGATCCATGCTGTCTGAATTCAGCTAACAAACACATGCTTTGTCTTCCGCTTCACTCTGATAAATGCCCTCTTTTGGTATATCCGATGTGATTTAATACTTTCTAAACACGTGGCTGCGACTGTGCCATGCTCATCATCGGAGACTGCTGGTTAATGGGGAGTGCAGGCAGCAGTGCAGGCGCAGAGAGTTACTGGGTTAGTAGGAAATGAGGCCAGGAGGAGTAAGTGGGAAAATAGGAGCAGGAGGACAAAGCAGGTGACAGATGAAATGATAGAGGGAGGCAGAGTTTGCTGCTGGTAGGTTCAGGAGCAGGTGTGTGCAGATCGATTTCTGGTGCAAGTGCAATAACCCCCCTCCAGTGAGTTGCCACAGGTGGAGGTAAAAAGAGGTAGACTGAACGGAGAGGTGGGAGCGACAGGTGCAGCGAATTAGAGCCGCGTGGATGCCAGCACACGTGTAGGTGCGCGCATGCGAGCGTGCGTGGTGGATGGCAGATTAGCTGCGGTATCGAAATCAAACTGTGGCAGAGACTGTTGAGGCTGGGGAAGAGGTGGTGAATGGAGGGGAGCAGATTGAGCGTGAGCCATAGCAGAAGGAAAGGCAACAGGGGGAGGGGGAGGGTTGGTCGCAGTCTCATGAAGGCGATGTTAGCACCTGTCACGTCGTAGTCATCACCTGTGCCGCTGTGGCAGCTCGCCTGGTCGTCGTCGCACTCGTCTGACGGGGTGGTGCTCGGGACTGCTGTGGTAGGCGGGAGTGTAGGAGCTAGAAAGATGGAGAAGAAGAGACAGCAGACAGCACAGATTAGGTCTCAAGTTAACCATGAAAAATACTCTGGTGTAGAGGCTGTTTTGGCTTTAAAGCTCTCTGACTCAGGCCACATTTAGAAAAGCAAACCATGGAAATGATCCATGTTTTCCTTTATTTTGCAGAGAGGGCGCAGTAAGCTAACACAGACAACTTTGATATTGCATTTTCTGATATTACATTCCTGTTGTTTGGTCCAGTCACTGCCTCATCATGTTATTACCTCAACCAACAAACTGAAATGTTTCATTTGAAAAACACTTTAATCCACAGCTGCTGCTTACAATAGGGCTTTCAAAGAAAATAAAGAAAACAACTAGATGTCATCAGAAACTGGCAGTAAATACCCTCAAACAAACACTAAAAGCGTATTCAGGAAGTGGATTTTCATCCTGCTTCACACAGAAAAAACAAACAAACACTGAAATATGTATCTGTAATCTCAGCGTGCTCTCCCCACAGTTAGATTCTGGGCTTTAATATAAGCTTGAGCTATTAGCATCCCTCCGTTCATCAAGATGTGGAGGTGTGGGTGTATAAATAGAGCTGAAGTTAAAGTGTGGTGCTCAGGGCTTGGGCGGCTCAAACTCAAAGATGCAGAAACAGGACTTGGGATTGGCTATAGGCAGGGCCCCTGGCTGCTACTGTGGCCTATCATTACAGCCCTGCTTCACTTGGATGTGGGCAAGGCCCAAGATCCACTCCACGCTCCGCTGCCGCACAACCGTCCTGCGGTGTGTGTGCTTTTGTGTGTGTTTACACTGACTGAGTAATGAACGGGCTTCCCCTGTGCAGAGCGAAGAAAAAGAACGAGGAGCGAGGGGGAGAAAGACAGGCATAGACAGATAGGCCTGAAAAATGTGTACAGTATCTTTGTGTGCGTGAGATTGTGAGTGTGTGTGAGCTGATGCTTGCGCTCTCTCTCCCTCTGCTCGATGAAATATGAGGCAGATCAGCTCCTGTCAGATTCAGGGTGGGGAAGGTCAGGGATGGGGTCAGCGCTGCGTCAGGGGAGCCTCTCACAGAAATGAGGATTTAGCCCTCCTGCTATGGCTTGCCGCACGGACACACACACAGACCTACACTTGTACAAGCACCTGTGTACATGCGTGATTGTGCATGCTTGCCTGTAACCACATGTTTGGCAAGGTGATTGCGGTTGCGCTGTGTGCATACGTCTGTGCGAGTATGTGTGTGTTTGGCATTAACACTGAAAACAAGCATTATCATCTGACTAAAGCTCCCGGTGGGAGTCCATGAGGCTTACAAGAGAATGGGCCCCCCTGAAATCCAATATGTAAATCCACTTACGGCTAGTGTGCTCTGCAGTATATTGCTGAGCTGTTTCTGTGCTACATCAGCTTGAAGAGAGGCAGATAAAGAGCAGGAAAAAAAAAAAAATAGGGGTAATTTTAAAGATAGCAAAGTGTGCGTGGTCCTTTGAAAGAAGAAAGACATGCAGGGGTTTTTGAGGAGTGCGATGGGGGCCGGGATGCAATAATCCTAGTGGGCCAGGTGGGCTTTCATTTGATCCCCTCCAGAAGTGGCTAGCTATGGGGGCTGCTTTGATGTAACACGGACACAAGACAACTGTCCCTTGTAGGGATAAAGAGCAGTAGCTGGACAGCTGTGGGCTCAACACAGGGAGCCCTCACGCACATCTTTAAATAACCAGGACTGTGGCAAAGACATGACGTGCAAGCTACTTACAGCCATGTCATTAGCTGGGATGATAGATTGCTCACCTGTGTGTGAGTCAAGGCGTGTCAGATGTGAACACATGTACAATCAGTCTGAGAATGAAGGTAGTGAGATCTAGGTATGTCTGCTAAGGTCATCATCATGGCTAGAAGACTATTATTCCGGCTGAAAATGCAAGCGTAACTGGAGACGGTTTCCACGTCAACAACAGGAGTAAAATGTCATGACCATGTTTAAAAGCATTACTACAGCTGAAAATGTCAACAGGTTGGAAAGACGGTTTCACTCTGGGTCCACCACTGGTAGAAACAAAATTACTCCCGATAGAAACCATCATCACTGGTGGAAATGACACCAACATAGATACAAATGCTGCTGTCACTTGATTTAGTAAGATAGAGGACAAACAATGCAATATGTTTTTTTAAAAAAAAGTTCCATCCGTTAAAGTTTACCTTCAATCTCACAGCCGAGGAGTTCAAGTCGCAGGCCCATCCCGGCAGGAGTGGCCCTCTCTGGGTAAATTCTGATGAAACGGGTCAGCAGGGGCTCCACCGTCCTGAGTTCAGGAGTGTCGTAATTGCTGTTACCTTCAAATATCTGGCAGGGAAAAGAGAAGAGGCATAAAGTGCCATATTGCTGATAATGTGACTGCTGGACATTTGACTGATACTGCTCTCTGACTGCAGATACCCTGAGGCAGACTTATTCCTGCCTCCTGAAAACCAGGAGGGATACGGAGGGGTGGCGAGAGCTGGGTAGGTAAAAAGATGATGAGAAAGAAAAGAAGATGACCAGATCGCTCTCATCTTGCTGACATCTAAAGCGCAGCTTAGGTGAGTGACGCAGGGGGCCAACGGCAACGACAGCATGACACACACCTCTGTCAAAAGCAACTTTCAGCTCCTTCAGCTCTGCCTTAGATCTTCCGCAAGGGGAGGAATAATTGTGGGAAAAGAGGCGAATGTGAGGTGTGAGAAAGGCAAGAAAAGAAGGAGCTAGAGGATTGATGGAAGTGGATTAATGGGTGTGATCACGTGAAGGAGCCTGGTGAGCCTTAGATGCTGGGAACCTCTTAGGCGAGGGGAGAAAGGCAGCTAACTAGGACAGGCGGGATATGGATCCTCCTCACTCCCTTCATAAATCAACCATCAGCCCATCTGGATCAGATTTATGCCCTGTCAGGGACACTTGTAATTGGGGACGGGCTTTGCAGCTCTTCTCGGAGGTGTGTGCGGTTGCGTACATATGTATTGTTTGTGTGTAAGTGTGTGTGCATGCATTGAGCAAAGTGTTGGCGTGTGTCTTCTGTGCAGGCAGATAAATCTTTGGTCACTTCTCTATGTTGCATGTTCTTTCCTCTCCTGTTTTCCGCTGACTCCCTTCACCCCTCCTTTCTCTCTGGAGAGGTTTCACTATCCATTGAAAGGGTTGAACGGCGTGTGTCGTGCAGAATACAAAGCAGGAAGAGAGAACTGGGGAAAGGACTCTGAGAGACTTGAGATGCTTATCCTAATGTGATTCAAAGCACTGCTGAAATTGACTCGCTATGACTGTTGAATGACTCACAACTACCAGGCGCAACGCTCTAGTGAAAATTGACTAAATGCGTCATAATCGGAATCGATGTTCTGACGTAGCTGAGAAACATATTTAGAAGCATGTATTCAAATCCTTTTCCAGCCGTTCTAACCCATTCCCCAGAAGGAACTGTGCCCACACAGAAAGAAATGATCAAGGGCTCCTTGGTTAGGGTTGTGCTTCTAATTTGTTACCAGAATTGCACAAACATCACAGTGGTTTCCAACATTCTGTAGCATTGCTGAAGGATGTTGCAGCATGTGTTTGACAAACCCGTACCTTTGGCTTGTTCCCGGTCGTGTCCGACACCATCCTCCAGTCGGAGCCGTTGTTGCTGTAGCCGAGGCGGAACTTCTTCATGAAGACCTTGTTCTCACGGTGCTTCCCTCCCTGGATGATTAACCCCTTCAACAGCTTCTCCTCGCCAAGATCCACCTGCAGCCATTCATTGGTGAAGGGCTGTGGTTGGGGCAGCAGGGTCCAACCTGTCCGGCTGGTCAGCAGACGGGCATTCTCTGGTACCCAGCTCCGGTCCGTATGGGAGGACGCAGTGATCTGGTTGTCAGTGATCAAGCCTGATACCATGCCCAGCATGCCTGAGCATGGGTACTCTAAAAGACAAAAGGGAAGGCAAAGGTGTGAGCTTTTTGATACAAATTAAAGAAAACCTGCAGAGATGATGGATGGAAAAACAAGTCTTGATCTATATCCAGAGGTTTGATGTTCAACATCATTTACCATGCCACAACTCCAGTTTGGTGAGTTTGAGGTTCATATAGGGGCAACAGGGCTAGTCAAAGTCAAAGTGAGGAGGACTATTCCCCAAACTCTTTGTGATGTTACTGTGATCTCTCCCTCTATTCTCTTTCAGTGTTTCTCTCTGTCTGCAGATCTCATGCATACTAATTCTTCTGCCTGAAGCGGTTGTCTCCAGGCAGCCAATTAAAACCCTTCTCTCTGTTGGTGCTTCCACCTCCTGCATTCTGGGAGCGCTTTTTCTTTTCATCTCCCTACCCCTCCCCTCCATAGACTCACATATACGCACACACAAAAACACATTCTCTTTGTGTTTTATCTGCTGCTGCACTCATCTACCTTCTGCTCCACAGCTGTCAACATCTGTGGGACCACATCTTTGAACACCTCGTTGTTTCCTTTCCACATTCTCAAACTTTCTTCTCCTCTTTTTATTCGACTTCTCTGATCTTACCCTATCTTAACTCTGTAAGTTTCAGCATCTTTGGATCAATTTCCTCATTTGTTTACAAAAGAAAATGACTGTCTTCTCATTTTTCCACATCTTTTCTTGCTGGTGACAACCCTTTGTATTAAGAGCAGAACCGGGTAACAACTTGTTGCTACAGCTTGGATGCATTTGCATGCTTAAATCAGATTTTTTTTAAAGCGTTCCACATGTTTTTGCCATTGCACAGCAGCAAAAAAAATAAAAAATTCTCAGGCTTGCAAAGTTTTTGTTGTTGTGCCTTGATCTAATGAAATGCTATTGACTGTAAATCTCTACTGGCACTGGCAACAACAACAGATGCAACCTGATATAACACTTATACTGACCAAAATACAAGCAAAATTATCTTGGACATTACATTTTATCACATTGTTTGATTGCCACGCTGCTTTGTAGGTAGGTGTTCAGTCATTTTGAGGGTTTCCGTTGTCAACCCTGCCGGGATTTGCATCTGGATTAAAACATCTAAAGAGACAAGATTCTGCTATGTCAAGGCTTACGGTGTCATTTGTTAATATTCATGTAACTTTTCCAAGTGTTACTGGTCTGCGAAACTTCTGAACAGTTCTTGTGTCCCACAGGGGGCCACAGTCAGTGGTTAATGGTGCAACTTTAGTCTCAGACCAAAATCCTGTTGTTAATCTTGTTCACTTCTGAAATACCTCTCTGTAAAGCTCCATCGAACACACATTAGTTTAGAAAAGTCCCCCTATGTTGCAACTGCCACTAGAAGTCTGATACTTGTATTAGGCTTAAATCTTCCTGTCTGCCGTGTCCTAACTTTTCCCAACACTTAATCCCAGGACACTGAGTCAGAGACCTGTGGTAAGCAATAACATATTTACTATCTGGCTCCCACGGAGGGATAAATCCAGGCATTATTACTTCTTCTGTGTCTGTATGAGACAAAGTGTGCACTGTACCGCTGCAGGACTCAATAGCATGGCCGCATCTGGGAAAAGCGAGTGAAAACTTGGGGAACAAGGCCTCATTCAGACATGTCTTTCTCTCTCTGGTTATCTAAAGCAGCTCCTATGCCAACCCGTGAGACAAATCTGTGGTCCTGCCTTCCAGAAAAGTCCAAATTGGAGCTCAAGTAACAAATGCTGTCGGTGTGGAAGCCTCTTGACTGTTTTGGGTTTTTTTTTCCCCCCCTGCTTTCTTTCGTCTTTGGCCAAGATCTGTTTGGGACTGATCAGAGGAGCTCGCCCCTGGCAGAGCGAAGCTAAGGCGCTGCACGCTGAACGCCTTTGAAGTGTGCGGCTGTAGAGAAAGGTACATGTGTGTGATTAAGAGTGTGTGTGTGTGTGTGTGACACTGATCTGAGTTTAGACTCGCGGGTGAACTCCCCGGGTCATCTGGAGCTGTTAATCGACTTCAGCTGCGATCACAGAAGCTGCCGAGATGGCATGCATGCAATGACACACCCACAGGAACAAACACTTGTGTGTATGTTTGCGGACTGCAGGCGCAGAAAGGGTGATACATGGCTCTGTGGGCCGAGTTCAGGGTTTGGGTGGAGCATCAGTGGCTCATCAGGGATATTTATATACCATGGCGTATTTACAAACAGCAGGGCGGTGGATCTTTTTATTAATGAGTAGCTGTTTGTATCAGCAGGGGCTCGCGACCATGATAATTAAAGGAACATCTTGCAACATTTTTGGGCTCAACTACTCAGTGTACCTGATTTTAAGTCTTGACAACAAAATTGGAGGGTGGCAAGATGGAAATGCCCATTTGAATAGCTCCGTATTGCTCCACACCCCTAGTTTCCGTCACATTTGGTGCAGTGGTCGGCTGCTGCTACGGCTGCACTCTTCCGGAAATGTGGAGATGCACTTAAAAAGCTCTCCATACTTTTCTTTTCATTAAAGTTCTGGTATCAGGGATCCATAACTCAGTGTAGAGCTGAGTGAGTCACTGGGTTTATGCAGCCCTCAAGAGCCTCAGAGTTTCCCTCTGTCTCTCTGACAGCGCTGCTAGCATGCAGTGAAGCTGGCAGCGTCTCCGGAGCACCCAGGGGTCCTGACGTCATTACGGAGGCCCTGTGGTGACTTCGATCCTGTGATGTGTTTACGCTCTGTGCAGCGGTCTGGTCGTGTGCCCCAAACATACGCCCCAGCTGTAACCCTGCTGTACCCACAGTGCCCTCTGCTATTACACGAAGAGCCACGCATATGTAATGTATAACTGCTCGACAAAAACACAAAGCGCTCCGCACATATGAGGACATTTAGCGGGCCACAACCAGTCCTGACCCTAACTTTAATCCAATCCTTAATCCTGAACTAACAACACTGACAAAAAGCAGCTACTTTCTATTTTTTGTCTGTCCTTGAAATATATATTCCATATCTAAGTACAGAAGAACAAAACACACCGGCAAGCACTAATTAGAATTCAATACACATGCTCATAATCCCGCAGAGATAGAGACAGATGTGCTAAAACCATACAAAAGGGAGTTGCACACACCACATATTAAAATAACATCAACAAAAAGGCAAAGATAAGACGAGTGTTGCCAAAATCAAAGCTTTACAAGTAAAAGACAGACTGTGGACTAAAGAGGAGGCTGAGAAGAGCTCAGCATAAGGGATGGGGCCATGCAGAGCCCACCCAGCTCCAACTCCCTCTGCCTACCAGCTGTTGGCTCCATTTATATTAAATGACGTACAACTAAACATGAGGAAACATAAATAGGTAATCCTCCTTCATGTGCCACTTTTCTATTATGCAGCAGCTTGCCTTAGCCTTAGAGGAGGACTCTCACAGAAATAGAGCTTCATCTCACACCTGGCAGAAGTGAGCTGTTTGGCCAACTGGGGCCTGGATGGGAAACAATAAACTATGTTGCAACAAGAAGAGGTCTGAACCAACCCGGACGCCTTCGGAAGTCATACAGAGTCGGTCGCATCAGCTGGCTACTGCATTTGGAAGTGTTAAGTATTCAGTTAGGGTAAACATCTGTAATATAGGGTAGTGAGTTCTCAGTGGTAGCTGTGAGCAAAGATAGTGCTGCAATGCGCTTGTATATGTATGCGGATCAGCAGGGATCTCAGCAGTAACCAACCTGATATCTTACAGCCATACACCTCGAAGCGCAGTGCGATGCCTGTTTCCCAGGTAACGGGACGGATCCGGACGAAACGCGTCAGCGTGGGTTTAGGCAGCATCGTCTTGGCAACGTCTGTTGGGTTGGTGTTGCCTTGGAAAACCTGTGAAAGAAGCAGGAGAAAAGTAAATTATTGACAGATTATGCTGAGTTGAGATGCAGAGTCAGAATTTCTCTGAGGCTTTGGCTGCATGAATACAGAAACAGACAATTCAAGGAAAGATTCACGTTCTTCTTAAACTAGCAAATGTTTAAGATGCTTTATGTGAATCTGAAAAACAAAACAAAACAAAACTAAAAAACACCTGAAGTTGAGAGATCCACCTTTGTGTGGACCAAGTCAAGACATTGACACAAGAAGTAACATTGACAATCAACGTAAACATTCAGTTTTTACCTTGTGGTTCAATAAGGTTTTATGCAAATACATAGAATTGTTTGAAAGCTTTGCTCACTGATAAACTGTTTCCCTGTTACTCCTGGAACTGCCCCTACATCTCCTCTTGCACCACATGTTGCAGCTCAAGGTGGCAGCGGCCCGTGACTATGAAACCTGAGGCGGGATGTGTAACACTTACAAGACCAGATTGGCTCAAGATGCCCTTTCTCTGTCCTCTACTTCCAGATCTGGTGTAGGTTTTTACTGCAGTGTCTTGTTGAAAGGTCAGAGATGTCACTGTTCTCCCCCAGGGTCAGTTGACAGTTTACTAGCACCATACGAGGGGCCGGCCACCCATCCCAACAACTCCCTACAGTCCATCACAGTTCAATCTGGGTAATTGAATCACAACGGTGACCATACGACCTTCTGACCCGCCTGACTGGGAGCTATGGGGCAGAGAGGAATCCAGCTGAGAGGAGCAGGATGGAAGGGTAAAAAGATAGCGGTTCTGGGATGAACTAAAATGCCACAAGGGCGTACCCATTAGTCTATACCGCCTGCCTACCCTTTTGCCACTCAGTCCTTCAGCAATACCTGTCAACTACATCACTAAGGGACCCTGGAACAAAGTCATCCACTCTGTTAAATGTCACGCCGAGTCTCTTCTCCACTCGCTAACTGTAAAGTGGCTTTTTCCAGGGCTGCGCTAAGATGCCAAACTGCAGGCTCAGCATGTAGCAAATGGTGCCCCTCTGCACAAAAGCACTTTAGAGTCCGGAAAAACACAGGCCGGGCTTACCACGGCACCTTTAAGCTGCCACTTTACAGAGGGGACTGTGTACTTTGGAGAGACCATAAAAGAATCAGGCCTGGGGGCATATGTACACAGCAGCACAAACATGCTTGTTGGGATGCTCTGTTGCTGTTGGGAACTTTTTTCTTTTCTCACTCTATCACTCAAAAATGCTTCGTAGTATTTACATGTCATGCAAACATGAGGACTGTCAAGACGCACACATGCTTCTCTGACCCTGCGGACACCCACAGTGCAGCCTGTGTTAGCCTCCAGATGGACAAAACCTGGTCTGTTTGACAGGCTGATCAGCGATCGATGGTTACAGCCTGTCACGCTCCGGTCAAGCATGCCGTCCCTCTCGTCCTTCCTTTTCTTGTCCCTCTCTTCTGGGCCCCCCCCTACCAGCTGCTTAAACTTGACAGCCTTTCCTAATTCCATCCATCCCCTTTAACTCTTGTTTGTCAAGTCTTTTGTCATCCCTTGCTCTTTTACGACCAGTTGATGGGTGCCTGACATAAAACAGAGGCAACATTCCTGCAAGAATTCCTCCCTGTAGTTACTTCAGTGCTGTATTAGCGCTGCAGTTTTTGCTGTAAATACCATCCACTTACACTCTTGTCGGGTATATTACCATATCATCAAAGTGTATAATTGCACGCTGGGAGACGGGACTAAAGTACATGTAGCCGGGTAGTTCCCCTTTTTTTTGAGCTCAAAGGAAACTTGGAGCAAACCACAATTCAACTCAGCTGGCTACTTCACTGAACTGGGATATTCCAAGCGCAGTACATATGCAGCGGCGGTTTTTATAACCCAGTCTCTGGTCAGAGAGACGCAAACATCCACCACTCCAATACTGTTATCATTTAGCTTCTTGCGAAAGTCTTATATTGAGCTCAGGGCTGCAAACGTTTCCAGAAAGGTTATTGGGGCTTCACAGTTAATTTCACTTTTTTAACTTAGAGCTTAAAGGTGAAGCTATTACACCATCGCCGGCTGAAATGAAACTTTTATCACAGAAATGTTGAGGAATACCTTCTGCTTGGAGCCTTCTTTCAAAGTGATCCAGTCCTCTCCATTAGAGCTGACATCCACCTTGTAGGACTTGACAAAGTAAATCCGCCGGGTCTCCTGGGAAATGGCGCCCTGGGTACCAATGGCTGAGACGAACCGCAAGAACCCAAGGTCCACCTGAAGAGGGCAAAGACAGAAAAGACAACTGAGAAAAAAGCTGCTTTAAGTGACTTTGCATATTACATACTGAGAGAAAATTCTGCAGTAGCTGCTGCAAGCTTCTTTTTTACTGTTTTAAGGAGATTACTGATGAATTGAGGTAGATGCGACTAAATGCAACGCTCTTCACCTGTTCAAATGCATGAATAACTTCTATGGAAAAGATTTTTTTTCAATGCACACAGCCTCTATTAATAATACAGAGGCAATCTGGAGAGTTAAAAATACAGCTCTACAATCAGAATCACCTCTGGCCATGAGCTCATCATCGGCTACCTGGAATTTAATAAACAACAATGAAATGATATTCGCATTAATGAAAGAGACACAAGATGACAACTTAATTTCCTGAGATGGGAGACAAGAGCTTATTGGATAAAAATGAATGTTGAATAGAACGTGGTCCGCAATCACATTATCAGAATCGGCCAGGAGGAAAGAGAGATACAGATTGAATATCAAATATTGTGCCTTTAAAATATGCAGGGCTTTATAAAGTAATCATGAACTGCAGTACATTACTGCAGGGCTATTACATTTTCACAGGGAGACAGCCAGAGGCGGCGGGGTCAGAGGCACATGTGTGAGCGTCTGGGTGAAAGTCATGTTCACGCATATATTTTCCTAAAATGTATATGTGCTGTATTTAGAGATGATGCTGGGCAGAGATAGTGGCTGGCTTGCATCAGACCTGGAAAGAGGGCAGAGTGTCTGTCTGCCAACTGTCATGCCTGTTCGCAAACACAATCATCACTGCCAGGAAAGAAAGAACACACGCAAACAACCCTCTATATGTCACCCTGGCTTCTGTTCCTGTGACCCAAAATAGCCTTCAAACTGGCTTTTGATCATGTTAATGCTGCTGTCTAACTTCACCGGGACTTTACAGGTCTGGAGAAGATGTCAGCTGCTGCTAGTTCTGGGACTCACATGCAATTTTTCAGCCACCAGCAATAACAAATGGGCTCCCTTTGACCGCAGTGGAGGCTACTTAACCTCACAGACCATCTCTTCATCCATAACAGGAGCAAAGAGTGGGTGCAACGCGAACCTGAAAAAACTTTCAAAGAATTCCAACCCCTCGGTGTATAAGCAGCATGCTTAATTTTAACAAGCGTTAACACCATCTTTGACAGGCTGAGCTGACATTAATGAGGAGTAATGGTGTTGCGTGCAGACGCGGCTGAAACGTGATGGAGTGATGCAGGGAAGCCGGGGCGTTGGTGGAACAGGTTTCCAAGTTCATGATGAGAGACGAGGCCTTTGATGTTGACGTGAGATGGGCTCGGGCTCTGATGCATGGCGACCAGAGTCTTGAGTAGATTACTGAATCGACTCAGAGGAGATCATCGGTATGTGCATGTGCAAGGGTGTGTAAGAAAGAGCGACAGCAGTGAAATCCTTTATGTGAGAGAGAGCAGACAGACACAGTAGTGTGCACATATTTCAGAAAATCAAAGCCAGGGTTATCTGCCTGCAAAAATCTTAACAGAGCTCCGGCATGTTAAAACCAGACAGTCGGCTAGCTTTGGCTGCCAACCTTATATACGGCGCGGTACCACACTTAATGATTCAGAGCAGGAAAGGAACATCTGCATGCCACGCTGGTCATTCCTGCTCCTCAAGTTCACTTCCAGAAGCAAGAAGACATAAACAGATGGGAGCAATAAATGAGGTTCCACCATGATATTCTCTCGCTCTCTCTTGGCCACTCAACGGATTTGGATGGATGGAGACTAACAAAAAAGACAGTCACATACAGAGACAGAATACTTTTGTTCCTGTCTACAGGCTCAAGGGGCTTTTACAGTAAGTCCCAGATTTCTTTTGGGTCCACAAATAGAAACAAAATCAAATCCTGTCAGCTTTAGACGGTTCCCATTTAATAACGAAGGAGTTGACTTCCTCTCTGCTGGGTAAACGGCTGTATGTGCCAGTGCTGGATGAGGAAAGCATGGTGGATGGCAGCAAGGTCTGCACTGGCGTTCAATATATTAGACCAGGCAGGTCTTTAACATCTTCTTTCAAATGGCCAGCCTGGTTTATTTCCAGTCTGGCCCACTGGCAAAGTGGCTTACTGTAAAGGCTTAACTAAAAATGGTCTAATAGGAAGACTTGGCCTTGGGATGTTTTCTCTGAAAGGATCTCATTAGGTGTAATGGAGAAGAAGAGCCTCTGGGAATGAAATGAGTGGCGGGGCTAATTGGGAACACTCATGGGTGCTCAGACTGAACAATATGAGGACATGAGCATGCAGAAATATGGCTGATTTGAAGAGGTTTGGACTGATATATGACCTTAATCAATATTCTAGTCCAAGTTTTTTGTTGTAAATTATTTTTGAGGGGGTTCTCCGCCAGTTGATGGGCGTGGTTCAACTTGCCAGTTCTAAAACTTTCATCACCTCATGGTTCAGCAGTTTTAAAGTTCCACAAACCACAGTGATGCTGGAGCAAATCAAGTCATTGTGATTTTTTGGAAAGTTTTTGGCACAAAAGTTCAAATTCTAGGCAGCTCGAGTTCGAAGAAAGGCATCAGGGTTAGTTGTCACGGGATGTGAGGAAGAGAAATGATGAAAGACAGCGGGGGGGCTGGAGAGAGAGAGGGAAGAGCCACAGAACGCTGAGGAGAAAGGAGAGAAAAGTCAAGAGGCGAAGGTTGGGAGGGGAAACAAGCCACTGACAGTGATGCCTTGCAAGATGTGAAGGACAGAAGCATGGGGTCTCCAGTGAAGAAGTGCACAGACTGGATCAATTTCACAGACACGGGCTGATAACAGGGCCCGGGTAATGAGCAAAGCATGATTTATTAATGGCTGCTTGTTAGAGGCAGAAGAACGAGGCAGAGGCTGCGCTAACAGACTGAGGTTACGTGGGTCAGGGAAAGAAGACTGGCTGCCAGGACGCTTGGATGTAAAGCACAGTCCATCCCACACCACAGAGACCACAGTGAAAACAAACAGGCTCAGATAATGATTACTAGTGGGACTCCTTTTAGCCCAAAGCCAAAGACAGTTCTTGCTGACCTATATACATAAACCAATAACCAACATTTAGAAATCATAAGGCGTCCACAGTGGATCCTGGGTAAATATATCACTCACAGATGATAAACTATTCGTCATCTCGAGCTGAAAGGCTGAATCATGCCTAATGGGTGATGTAATCAGCGTGTGGAAAGGTGTGAATTATGCCTCCTAATCTAGCATCTATAGGGACGCGCTGCACTTTGAGACTCTGCTGATCAAGAAGCAGGTATTTGCTTCACATTTACCATATTGTTGTTTCTCCTGTGAGAGTGTTTGGACTTAAGCCCACCTATAGACAAATGACACTATACATTCTGGGCATGCCGGTGCACTGTAACTCATATCTGGAGGGACACACAACCTGAGCCATAAACATGCCAGGCTGGGTAAGAAATCACCCAGGCTTCTCAGAATCTTTCCATAAAGCAGTGGCAGGCTGATATGTGGGCAAGACTTCAATGTGTCCTTGTCTCCCAGGAGTTTTTCTCTTCTCCAGTATAGTCCAAAATATGTTTGACTAGCTGTGTGTGTGTGTGTGTGTGTGTGTTTTGAGTGTTTGCTACCTTCCTGTTGTGAGGCAAACTGATGACTTAAAGCCCCTTGCCTCACAACAGCCAGTGTGCACGGCTCCAGTGGTTTCACAAACTAATGAAACCAGAAAGGCAGAAAAAGAATTAGTCATGCTCAGGCTTGTAACATCAGCCAGTTAAAGCCTGGTGTGCGTGTAGTTAGATCGACATGCTGAAATCCACTTCAGGGGGGGCTCAGTAGTGGGTATATACATATATATATATATATATAGACAGAGCGATATATATATACACACATGTATGAGCGACTTTAGGAATAAATTATGGCAAATAACCAACAAACAATGTACTTATGTGTTTATGTGTGTTTGTACAAGTGTAGTTTAGTTTCGGGATCATTGCTGTGGGTGTGATTATTAGGTTTATGCCTTGCCCAGAGTATTGTCTTTGCGCTCTGTGACTCATGTGCAGCAAGGCCACATGATATGTAATTGAGGCTAAAGCTTCGTCAGTGTTGTGTGGGTGCAGCAAGCAGACATGCAGTGTATATAGCCGAGGAGGGGAAACAGCTCGAGAAACGGCAAAGGCTCAAAAGTTCTATCTCTGGCTGCTTGATTGGCTTATAATTGAGTTGCCAAGGAGTTGCATGCAGCAATCTGCACTGTGGGAGAAGAAGAACCAAAGACTTTTGTTTTAAATCCATTTCTGTGCTTTCCCAACAGGAGGGGAAAAATAGCTGTGTGTGTGTGTGTGGGCTTCTGACTGAATAACCGAGGCCTCTGGGGAATGAGTTTATTCGTTTCCCCCCACCAAAAACAACAACAAGAGAAATGCCGAGGGTGAGAAGGAAGGGAGAACTCCTCTGTGTTCCAAAGTCAAAGAGCAGCTGGTAGACATAGACGGAGGCTCCGGTCCAGGAAACAATCTCTGGAAATGCTTTATGGATCTCAAAGGATGGTATAGTCAGAAGTCATAAAGTAGATGCAAAGCCTCAAGTCACCTGTTTTTTTCTTTTTTTTTTGCATACAAATTCTGACAATGCCTCCCTTTGTATGGTAATGACAGAAAGCTGACATTTTTGTGAACCGACAGACACACATCCACTCTGGCATGCAGCTAAAGAGATGCGTTTCTATCCCCAGAAGTCGTATCTAAAGCAGCTTTCAGCAATCCGTTCCTTAATTTCCCCTTCAGTTACTTTGGTGTTGGTAGCGGAAGCTTTTAGGAATAGCTCCATTACCTGAAAGCGTAATTAATTCTCTTTTCATGAAAATTGTATTACTCAAATGCTCCAGGACCTATGAGCTCCCCTCATGACCCTCCATTTATCACAATATTCACCTGACAAAATTACAGTTTATTTTTAGCACCTCCACACCTCTTTGGTGGCATTAAATTATGCATATCTTCCCATGCACCGATCATCTGTTTCCCTGACACAGAGGGATGTATAGGTCAGACGACAGCGGTGATAAAATTAAAGGTTGTGTGGTTGTTGTGCTGTGCTCAGATACATGTGTACTGTTGCTGATTACAGGTTTTTAGTCCCAGCTGTTAGAGGAAGTCTGGTTTTGAAGTTGGTGAATCATCGTTCAGACTCTAACTCGGGGGTCATTCCCATCCTTGCCACACACACATGACTAACGGGCTGAGTAATGATTATGTAACTAAGAAACAGTGATAAGGAAGGAAGAGAGCGCGACCTGAAGGTATGTCACGTCTGGAATCTGCCTGATGATTCTATCCCAGGATATACAGCTGCACATGATCGTTTAGTGATGACGACCGACCGCAGGGCTTTCAGGCATTTCTCTGTTCTGCAAAATGCAGACGCTGAAAATGACACTGATTACAGCTAAGCTGGGTTTTTGTCTCAGGGTACTTATGCCGCGCTGTTTCATTTCATTACATCATGCCATCCCTCATGTTTCGATTTCTAGTCCCACTTTTGGGCTACTCCAAACGAGTGTGGGTCTCTATCCTCTCATTGATTTTCCAATTGAGAGCGCGGCCCAGAAGCAGCGAGGCTCAGACAGCATCCATTGTTTCCATTTGTACGGCATGATGATGATCTCACCGGCAGATGCATGCCAGCCTCCGCTCCTCTGCTCTCGCTAGACTTCATCAACTGAGAAGCTGCTGTTAATTACTAGTCCATATTCTAATTACTCATCACCCGGCGCGGTGGTAAGCCCTGGAACCGGCACAGAAGCGAAGAGAGAGACGATAGCAACGAAGGGAGGCATTTTTTTTTGCAAATCATTGACCTGAGGTAATTGAAAGCACGTTTGGAAGAGAAGAAAAACAGGATATGGCAGAACGCGCTGGTTTAGCATCTGACATTAGCTTCTGCACAGTGGCCAGAACTGCAGTTTCATCAAGGAAGAGTGCAATTAGTGGTTGTTTGGTTGGTCAAGTGGTGGAACTCAACCTGTTATCCAGCCAGGCCTCGCAGAACTGTTTGTCTTATAGATTTGCAAGACATACGGCCAACTCCCACGTCAAGTTGCTCTGCGAATGGCTGGCTTTACCTTGAGATTGATATCACATGTAGGAGAGAAAGAAGTGTCAACAAACACCGACGCGCTCCTTAAGTTTAGTGCTTTCATCTGTCTGAGCGGGGAGATTAAAGCATTTCTCACATGACAACAGTTAAGAGACTCATTGTGATTAAACAATTTAGGTGATCAGAGACACATAGAGGCTGATAAACACATAAATACTGATGAAGCAGTCAGGGATAATGCATCCTGGCAGGAGGACTGGGGATAATGGCAGGAGGCTTTGCAGCTAAATTATAGATATGGAAAGCAAGCTCAAACTCATGAGCATGAAAAACTCCAACCTGCTGTATGGGATGGCATATACTGTATATTGCCATTATGAGATGCTCAGGAGAAAGGCTTTCAGGTATTGACAGTTGGGTCCGCTCCAAGACAGTGTAAATTATTCATGTTGTGTGTATGTGCGATCAATGCCAGCTGTCTGACAGAGATTCAGTCCATCTTTTATTGTGTCATTCAGATGTTATAGTGGCTCTTGGTGGCCATCAGATCCTTCCTATATGAGATTCGTAGCAATTTCCGTTACACCACTCCATAAACATGCTACACCTCCTTCTCCCAGGCGAATGTGTTGCACAGATGCAGGTATTTCCTTGTCCGTGTTATGTGAGTTCATAAAGCAAGGAACAGCCCATTGACTGGGTAGTCTGCTGGTTTACTCTCATTAATTTTTTGCTGCAACCTGCTGCAAAGAGCAGCGTTGTTCATACTGTTAAGCTTCAGAGAAAGCCACGGCTCACACAGGCAGATAATATTCACAAATCTCCCGCTACCTTGATGTAGATCTGTAAACCTGGAGAGGAGCGAGGAGAGAAAAAGAGCGGAGCGAAAAAGGAAAGGATCTGAAAGGAGCAAAGAAAAAAAATGAAATGAAGGCCTGTTTTGAGGGATTATCGCCTCTTTCTTTACTCCCTCCTCCAGCCGCAAACCCCCTCAAAGGACATCTGTCCATCTCTGTGTACACCAAAAGGCTGATTAATGACCTGGCTAACCCACCACTCAATGCTGAACCACACCACACCAATCTAATTACCTTGTGAAGAGCGCACAGACTCGAGCATCTTGCCCTCCTTCTCTTCATGCATCAGAATGAGGCAGCATTAAAATGGATGACAAATCTGGATTATGTTCGGCAAAGAAGAAGGAAAGCAGAGCGAAGGAAAATGCCCAGGAATCAAAGGCCGCCTGTCATGAATAATAAAACTGTCTGCCTCAAACTGCAGTCAGGGAATGATAAATGAAATAAATAATGAATTGATTACTATGCATCTGACTGCACACTGAGATGATTTGTACGTGCCGCGAGGGGGCCTGAGCTTGTTGCAACACCACGGACAGGCTTAATGAAAGAGGAATGAAGAATTCTGCTCTTTTAATACCACTTGTGATAATTGGACTTCTGCTCAGAGTGCTCGGCACAAGTGCATCACACTCCTTAGAAAACATAAATTACGTGGCAACCACAGACTTGGCTCATTTGCTGCGTTTGAAATTAGAAATTAGAAGAGTCTCATTCAGTGTTTTCATCTGATTAGTATTGGGAAATCAGCACGCCCATTAGAGCCCATCCCCTTCAAAATCCAGATTTTTACTGCCAAATCAAATCCTCAATATGATCAATACTATAACAGAGAGAGTCTGGAGTGGCAGCAAATCATTATGATCACTTGTAATTTCCGCTGACAAAAAGGCAAAGCAGGGCTGGGCGGCCTTCACGTCAATGCTGGTACACTTAACCCACGCATCAGACTATGAACAATGGACTGTCCTTTGCAGGAGACAAATACTTTCGTACAACAGACTGTCGAACTGCTGGAGGAAGCGGTAAGGCAGGCCACGATTCTTCCTGATCCACTCAGACACATGCTGGGGTCCTCTGCAGGACAATATGGACCGTGCCAGACCCTCCTACTCACCCACAAAGCCAAGAACAAACACATGGACACACACAAGCATGGGAGAACACACATAAACCTGCACATACACAGTCACATACTGATTAAATTAGTCTGAAGGAGCAACGGGGGCCCTCGGGACAATATTTTCATTGCAATAATAAAGGAAAAGCTTGCTTATGGCCCTCCCCAAGCAAATATTTGGCTTTGGGTCAGCTCTATTATTCATCCCCTGAGGAATATACTGGGGCCAAACTTTTCAGCAATGAAGCAAAGACTGTAGAAAAAGAGTAGAAAAAGAAAAACAGTCTGGGCATTTACAAGGCCTGGAGGCTTTCGGTTAATAAATCAAACATGTTCCAAAAGCATCTAGGTAGAGCTGTGGCAGGTGTGTCACTGGGGGGTTTGTGCTGTGAGTGGACTTGGGATATGTGACTTATCCCCATCTAGGGATGGAGGAACTAAATCCTTAATCTTCCCACATAAAGTTCCCTTGGTGGGTGATGATCGCTTTGTGCAGATAAGCTGACAGACAGAAAAATATGACAGAGCCTGTTTGAGCGTGTGTGTGTGTGTGTGTGTGTGTGTGTGTGTGTGTGTATGTGTGTGTGTGTGTGAAGCTAGGCAGGATGCCTGGACTAAATCCCAGCATCCCCTGAGGCAGTCTCCGTTATCAAGGAAAGGGAAAGTTATCAGTTAGGACAGGAAGACAGAAGGAGAGAGAGACACAGACAGATAGGTAGACAGTGACAGAGAGAGTGGACACAGGCAATTTTGGTGAGGTGTGGACTCCACCACCCAGAGGTCCATCAGGACGGCTGACATTCATCATCGAAATTGTTGGGTGTTATGGAGAAACTGCACCTCCAGAGACTGAAGGACAAACACAGAACACACCTACTGTGTTCAAGCAGGCAGCAGTCACTTCTAATACTGCATACACCCTCAGACGGTGACTCACCTCCAAAAACATACTGCAGGCAGTTGGGGAGTTCTTCTGCACTGCCATGGTTGACTTTTCAGACATTATTTACCTTTCCTCAGTAGCTGAAACCAGCTTTCAGGTGGCAACAATCTGTGGTGTGTAAAGAATTTCCTCTCTGTGACATGAAAAGCATTACCTGTATCCACTCCTTGTTCGAGTCCTCTGCCGGCGTCCATGCATTTTCATAGTAGTTGAGTCTGGATCGCTCTGGGGACCAGCTGGGGTTGTACTGGGATGAAGCCATGATTTGGTCTGATGTTATCTCTCCTGATTCCATTCCCAAAGGGTCGCTACAGTCAAAGTCTGAACAGGGAGGAGGGAAGGGGAGAGACAGACAGATAGGAGGAGGATGAAAAGGGAGAAAGTAAAAGATATTTAGTTGATTTCTGAGCAGGCACAATGTACCCAGCATGTGCTTTCAGTGTCCCTCAGAATCAGAGCTCATCTCTGGGGAGGAGGCCACCACACGACAGGCACTCAAGCGCTGCTGGCCGGAAAAGAACAGCACATCAGCAATGCCTCAGTAAATCCTTTCTGTTTCTTTCTCCCCCTCCCTGGTTTTTAATGGAAGCAGGATGGAAGTGTTCCACATTAAGACGTAAAAATGTCTTCATAAAACATTCAGCGTGGGCTAAGTTTACGTTCGTATTAGGCGTTAGAGTGACTTTCACTCCGGTTATTTTTTCCACTGACTGGATCCATTTCCCTCACCTCCCTGTGGGCAGTTTATCTTTTTTGCACACAGTAACTATTTTCCTCTACTTGGTCTCTTGGGAGAGTTTAGGTGTCTTTAGTATCTGTATTTAGGAGCCGTATATCACACTCAGTGGCCAAACCACCCATGGCAGGAGGTGGCTTCCCTTGTTTGTGTTGACATGGAGCAGCCGTTTCAAGGCATCCGCGGCTAAAGACTCTGCTGGGTCAGCTTGGGGTCGGCTTCTCTAACCCGCAGAGGTCAGACATGCTGACACCGCTGTGGAGCAACCGTTGGAACGAAGAACATGACCTTTTGATCTGGGCAGGAGCTGTATAACGTCACCACAACAACACGAAGGTATGCGGAGGCACACTTTCACACATACATGTAAACAGTTATTCTTATCACTGTTGATCTACTTCTTCTGGTGAAGTTGGTAAGTCCGCTTCTCTAAGATCAAGGCTGCCACTGCCATAAATATAACACCCTTTGCCCAAAAATGCAGTCATGTGCTTGTGTGTACACTCACACAGAGGGCTCAGGACGTGGAGCAGTGTGGAACTGCTATGTGGCTGCTGCCTAAGAGCTAACACAGATGGTCTCCCCATCTGCCACACTGCTAACACACCTCAGTCACTGGGTCAGTGTGTGTGTTTGTGCTTTACAGTGTCGACGCGCGGTCGCATATGCATGTGCTCGCAAGCACAAGTGCGTCGGAGTCTCTGCGTGAGGCTGAGAAAACTGTCTGGCACCTCTCCACTCTCATTGTCGGCTCTCTTTGAGGAGACTGCCTGTTCTTGTCAAACTTTTGTACTCAGACCTACATTATCTAGATTAGTGACCACGATCAACAAAAGAGGCGTTTATTTGCTGCTAAGCACGCTATCTGATCATGTGGGTTACTGAACAAAGCGGGGTTGATAGCAGAGAAAATAGTGAGGGTGGACTGAGGGAATGAGAGCAAAAGAAACGGGCTATGAACAAAAGACAAGGCGTCTTTTCAGCACCTTATCACCTCTCATCAGTAGCTTTCAGCGAGAGTGTACCCTTCCCTTTCCCCTTGCCATGTAGAAGCGAGAAAATCCGCCGTGTATTATGCATAAGGGGATTATGAATGATTTAAGTGGTACAAGCCTGGAAAAGCAAAGACGAAGTTTGGAGATTTATTTTTTTTTAAAATCTTGGATGCGTCTCAGTTGGTGATGTAAGACCAAGAAACTCACGTCTAAATGAAGGTATTTACTGATCACAGGTCAGATATTTCACCATGCCTCTTAATGGCGAACGTGAAAAGTTGATTTGTGTAATCTGATCTTAGATGTGTGATTAAAACGACTCAAGTAACTCGGAGGAGTCTAAAGAGAAATGACATCAGCACTCATCGCTGCGCTCATTACTGTGAGGCGGGGTGGTTTCGTTTGTTGTGTGTGTGTGTGTGTGCACATGTGTGTGTACACAGTCTCTGTCTTCCCTCTGGGCAAGACAAAATCCTTTTTGGAGATGATTAGTAGATTTGGCTGAATGTCATCCATCTCTATTGCTATTCAAAGACTGACTGTGTGTGTGTGTGTATATACGTGGGGTGGTCTAGCCGCCGGACAGATTTATGACTCCAACCAGAGCTCGTCTTCCTTAATGAAATGTTTAGATGGAGCGTTTTGCAAAATGGGGTCGGGGGGTCGAGCCCCGTGACAACGATGCTGCATGTCAAAGCCCTGGGGGTGTGTGTAAGTCTGTGTCCAAGGTGGTTACAAGTGGGGAAGCTGATTTTTGGAGCCGCTCTGGGCCCATGGTGTGTAAACTCAGGTCTTGTAAACCGCGGGAGGCAGACTTGTACCCTGTTACACATTTCCCAAGTGAAGAAGCAGGAGGTGTTTATTTAATAACTCCTAAGCTCTGTTTAACAAGTGGGAATTTGTCTTAATAGGACCATGTGTAGCTTCAGGAGCAGACAGGATCGGCTTCTTGCTCTTAGTAATACTCCTCTGGTGGTTACTTTCATGGCCTTTAATTCTTTTACAGGCTCATCTAAGTGGTCTTTCACTTAACAAATCTCTCCGGATTGCTGATTTCTGCCTCATTTATACCAGTTTTGTATCTATTGTCTTTGGCCACCTGTGATTCTACTTCCCTAAAATCCCCATCTGTCTGATATTTAGTGTTTTTCACGCCAGCTCACCCTCTGGAACGGTCCTTTCGATGACGGTGAAGTTGGCAGAAAAGCCTTCCTTTGCGATGGCGCTGTCCGTGTTGATTGTCAGTGCCAGGATGCCCGTGTAGGAGATGATTCTGCCCGGGGTGTTCTGCCCACAGTACCTTCCGATGTATGGGCCCACTGGTGATTAGACAGGAGAGGAAAAAAAACACAAATATTGTTCCTCAGGTTAGACTTGGGTTAACTCAATATTTGTTTGTTTGCCACAGCCATGTCACACATGGGTTTAACTACCAACTCCCCCCTGTGGAGGTGTGAAAACTAGTGTGTCAGTGAGGTATGGCACCGGCTACATTTTTTTCACCCCCCACCCCTCCGACCCCGTAAAGATGCGTGAGAAAAGACTCCCAACATTCCAAGCCTGCCCGCCTGGCGGACACAAAGCGGAAGAGGGACCTGTATTGCGGGGCAGGTCACCGTCTCTGTCTGTTTGCTGGCTGTAAATACCTCAGACCTCCTGTACCCAAACTCATTTTCTTAGACTTGAAGCGGACACAAGGCACGGCCCAGTGAGTCTTGTGAAGGAGACCGAACAAGTAAAGGCTGCTCAGAGACAATAGGGGACCATTAAAAGACAGAGCGCAATAAAAGCACAAGAGGGACACGTTCCACTGGGCAGACTGAGTCGAACGGGGGAACGGGATGAATTAAAAAAAAAAAAAGGTGGAGGGAGGCGGTACGTTAGGGGGAGACAGAGAGGCGTGGGGAAAGAGTGATGGGGTAACGAGGGAGGGAGCGGGAGAGCAAGGGAGCACAATGACCTTGCCCTACGTCTCTGATGTGTGCTATGATCCATGCACATTTGTGAGTGTGTGTTCCTGTTGGTGTGTGGGGACCTGCAGCTTATCTGTGATTAGTAATGCTGTGATCAGCGGCGAGTGACAGTCCTGCCTCCCTGCGGCCTCCTGTCATCCAAAACATGCCACTTCTAGCCCAGCGCCTACATGAAAGGCAAAAGGCCAGGCCGCTGGGACTTATGGTGTGACGGCTCAGATTAATCTTCATAAACCAGGTGCCTGCTGTATGAATCTATGTGTGCTTTTAAACCCACTAAGTCTTGAGGTGAACAAAAAAAAAAAAGCCATCTCTTGGATTATCTGCATGACTCCCCAGCGCTATGAAATTTTAAAGAGCCACGCTATGAACTCCTGCCTCCTTGTTCCACTGGGAAGAGAGGCAAAGGAGTGGAGGTTCGTCTTCTTACAGCGCCTGTCCAGCGAGGTGTACTCTAAGAGGTGAGGGGGTACGGGGAGGTGCGACTCCCCTGCTGCTTCATGGAGGCCTGCATTTGCCTGGACATCTCCCACCTCTGCACACCCCGCTGGCTAGCATGCCTCCAGCCTTCTGTGCTAATGCACTATCGATCCAGCAGGCACCACAGGAACCGCCTGGCAAGAGCCGACACACTATTTTCTTCCTGTGGCTTATTTTTATACAGGACCGTCTGTCACACACAACAACACTTGATGGGTTTGATGCCACATGAGTCCAAAGTGGCAGTGTCCAGTTTCTGCCCTGAACAGGATCAGTGTTGGATAAAAAGAAATTCTTTATTCTGCTTCTTTTGTGCCGCACTTCCAGCCGAATGAACTGCGATATCTCTGAATCTTAATAGGTTGGAAGTGACACAAGAAATGTGTCTTTTTGAAACACCTGAGGTCTTTTGTAAAAAAAAGAATTAAAAGGTGATAATAATGTGACATATTCTCAGCTCTCCGAGTCTTCGAGAGTCTCCTTAATCAACACAAATCTTGAAAATTAAACATGTGCCACCTCGAGGGGCGAGCATACAAATTAGTGACAAAAATACTTTGTAGAATCAAAGGTCAACTCTGCAAAGTTAACATCTTCAGAGACTTGAGCTCAGAGAAAACTGAACTTTAAGTAAACTGACTTGAAAAGGCGCTGTGATTTACACTTCAACCTTATCACCTGGAACGCAACGGCAGAGAATACCGATGTGCACCAGTTTGAGCGCTACCAGATAAAATTCTTTCAATTGTCAGCCGCTGATGGGTGAGAAACGCTTTCATCTTGTCTGCACCCCGCGTTGGAATAGCCAGGAGAAAAACTGAAAACTTCAAGAGATGATTTTGCTCACTGAGTTCAAAGCCTCATCTCAGGCTATGGAAGCATTGCTTTGAACACTGCTCGCCCTCTCTCACTCTGTCGCTCACCTGCTGATTTTTCAGATGGATGGATTTGAGAATGCCATTCTAAGGCAATATTTGATTGTGTGTGTGAATTTACACCTTTGCCGAGCCCTGCAACCAGAAGACGGTGGCTGTTATCAACACCAAGCTGGTTCAGTTCAAGTGTAATGAGAACTTTTTTTTTTCTCTTCGGTGGGAAACACAAGAAAACTTAGGGAGGAAATTCCTTTTATAGGCATTTCCTGCTAGACTGGACTGTGTTCTTTATGCGTCAGGGCACTGAGAAGTACCAACCTACACATCGCAGCTGAGATTAGACCTTCAACTCCCAAATGTATAGGCACGAACCAATTGTCCAACACAATGCAGGCTGGGAATGGGAAATGGAGGGTGGGAGGCTCTTCTGATCAGGAAATGTTTGGCATTGAGCGACGATGAAGCATTACACTCATGATGAGTGTTGGAAGCCCCTGCCAAGTCTGGTTAAGGCAGTTAGCCCACTGGCCCGGATAATGTCATCATATTGTGTAAAACTGTTCATTTCCTCTGGAAAAGCAGCGAGAAGTGAAGTTGAAACCTACCACTCCCCTCACCCACAGTCTCTGTTTCCCATGGCAGGATAACAGATCTTAGCACAGTGACTTATTGCACATTTTCCCATCTTTGTTGAAACAGTCAGCCTTTTGTGTTCAAACTGAAAAAAACACACTGCTAGTCAATTTAATGATTACTTTTTAACTGCAGTGATATCTCTTGGGTAGTTTCAGAAATGGGAAAAAAAAACATGCTGTACTAATAGTGTGATTTTGAGCAAGTGGCTCAAAAAAGATTTGCACTAAAACCAGTGAAATGCAAAGTGTAACAGAAGCACAAGTAGAAAAGAGTCTCAAAGTGCAGACTAACTCAGAGATGACTAGTAACGTAGCAATGTCTCTCTTCAAACCCCCCTCCTGTGAAAACCAGTTCTTTTTACACTGTTAACAAGTCAATATGGTGTTTTATATGCGAGAACATACATCATGATAAGCAGTCAAAGTCATAGCAAACCTACAAAACCAATCCGGAAAATCTGAAAATTTCTGCATCATAATTCTTCTTCAGAATCGGTTTCCTGCTTTAACATGTATAGCTGAATTACTCCAACATGACTACTTGCCATTGTGTAACTTAAAGTAGTTTTTACAGCTACAGAAGTTTAGTAGGGACAAGAGATGTATGAACTTCATAGATCTCTACAATCTAGAGGAAGCAACAGTGCAGAGTTGCAGTTAAAAACTTCTTCGCCACAGAGAAATTAGTTTTAAGGAGTTAATTCAACGACCGGAGAGGGACCTTAAGTTCGCTAATGTGAGTTAACCAACAAAAGTTACTGCTAATACCACATTAGGTAGCAGAGAAAAACCCATGAGTGTACTCAATAAAGAATGGCCCACTTTATTGTTAATGAACTTTTCATTAGCAGTAGAAGGATTGTTAAAGTCCCTCTCCTGGCATTGATTAAACTCTTTAAACCTCATCTCTGTTCAGCAAATTTGCATATTTAAAAGTTTTTTTCTTAGTAAAAACATCCCTTGATGCTTTGTAATGGCTTAAATGCAACTGTACACCTTTGCTACCTTCAGTATGCACAGAACCATGACTATGAAAATGAGTTCCCTCCATCCCTCTGCTGCACCTCGACCACACCGTCTCACCCACGACTTTGCTCAGACTTTGTCGAATTACTCTGGGCTACACAATGACAAGTTGTACATTTGAATAATTTACCCATGCATGTTCTAGACTGCCCTTGTAAGTTGACAGATTTGTCTATTGGGTGTGAAGCCCTGGAAGTCTAAATCTGTGTTTTTGAGGCAGTCATCAGTACTCTGCAGGTTCAGGTGGAACTGCTCAGCCATTGCGTTGGTTGCTTATTTAGCTAATGATATGTCTTCTAGCATGTAAAAACACCATATGGCCATGTTAACAAGCTAATAAATTTTTCATCTTAGGCGGTCTTTACTTTTTGTTGCACATTCTTACTTTACATTAAATGGAAAAGAGAGAACACAGAGGTCCATCTAAATGCTCGCTGTTTGCTCACCTCCAGGGAAGCCGTCCCAGATCTCCAGCCGGTCGTAGCGGCAGAACACACCAGTAGGGGGCGTCGTGTCGGGCTCCAGCTCGAAGCTCTCAAACTCCAAAATGATTTCAGACATCTTAGGCGCAAAGATCATGAAAGTGCAGTCCAGGTTGTTGGGGTATTTCTCCGGAAACCCGGGTGACTTTATGACACCGCTGTTAGAGGTGAAGTTCCTGGAGCACTCGGGTCCTGCAGGAGAGACGAAAGGAAGTGGGAAGTGAGAAGATGAGATGCACAGGGAACAAAGGAGCGGGTGGGGATATTTCGTTTGAATGACCACTGCTTAACTGATCTGTTTTAGGTTTCTTTATGTGCTGGGTATTGAGATGCTCTGCCTGCCAGCTGCTCCATTGACTGGAGGACAGTTTACGGCCTGCAGCTGAGAGACCACCTTGATAGTTCTTGTATTCAATAGACGCTACATCTGGATCACTCAGCTCTCCTCGATGTTGTTGTGTGCTTTTTTTGCCCCCTTATGGGAACCAACATCACACTCCATCACTGGGTAGATATAACATATGAGACTCCTGAGACATCTGGACTGAGAACAGTAAACATTAGTGAAAGGCTTCAATCACCAGAACCGGGGAGCGATGAATAAACAGCTTGATTTGCGCTGCACAAACCTCTCGCACACGTCCTCATCAGGACATGTCTGCGAAACATATGAGAGGTGCTCAGCCAAAATTACAGCGTCAGTGATGGAAGGCGAGGGCAATGACTGCGCATACATCAGCGCGCACAAGCACACTTAAACACACAGTTCTACACAGGGGAAAGTCAAAATATTTATGCACAGCTCCCCGAGGAGCTGCCTTTCAGCTGATGAGGAGCATTAACACATTTTCCAAGTTAGCTACTTCACAGAGCATCACGAGCACGAGATTAGGATTTGAGAGTGATTGACGTGAGATAAAAAAAAACGACGCTTACAGCTGCAGGAAAACTTTAAAGAGTGCGACGGAGAGAGACAGTAAGACATATTCACTATGCAGGCCCAAGCGCTGGTCCAGAGTGTGCTTCACACAAGCATACCATCAGGAAAAAAGAGAACTACTGTCAGTCAGGGCAATTATTTGGAGCCATTAGTGGCAGAAATGTACCCAGGATAACATCATTTTCATGCTAGGCTGGCAGCTGGCATGATGGGTGCAGATGGGGCCAATCGAAACCAAAATTGCAGGGAGTTATCGCTAGATAAGCTAGATCACATAAATGAATGTGGCAAACTGCTTTTTTCCATCGTCACTCAAGCATCTTGCTGGGCCCCTAATTGAAGACCATCAGGCCCACTTGAGCCTGTCCACCGGCGGACTGAGTGTAGGGACTGAGAGCCATGTGGATTTCCTTTCTCCCCAAGTTGAAAGCCATGGCGAGCGGCGTTTTGCCTCGAAACAGAGTTGACATTTAATGCGGCGGCTAAAGTGTGGCTTTCGAGAACAGTAGGCGCCATTAATTTCACAGCTTCCCCTCGTATTTACCTCCAGAAAATGGAGAGATTTTGTCAGGACTGGAGGGAGAGAAAGCACGTTCCCTGGGATGGGAGGGTTTGCTGGATGCTGCAGTTCTGCACTTTGGGGAGAAATGTCAGACAGTTTTTTTGCGGAGGGAAAAAAAAAAAAAACTACAGATGCAAGCCACTTCTTTGAAAAAAGGTGGCTGTGGTGCCTGAGTGCTCTAGACAGCTGCAGCATCCAAAGTGCAATTCAGGTCAGTGTGTTGAATTTCCTGTGGATATTGGCTCAGAATTCCACTCTCCATCCATTTCATCAGCCTCCACCATGACCCTTATCTCAGCTCAGCAGTTGACCAGAACAGATTTGGTGGTTGGAAATGGTTCACTCTGAAAACCTGTCGAAATCCAAGCACTAGACTGGCACTTTTGCTTTTTGTCATTATCGCTGTAACTGCTTGTAATGCCCCCCTTTTAGCTTAGTTAATTTCCTTCTTTTATTTGTTATTTTCATATTCTTTATTCCATGTTTGTTTTTAAATTCTTTCCCTCTTTATCAACCCTCATTCACACAAGAGAACGTATTTATTCTGCTCTACCTTACACCTGCAGTCAAATATGTCAGCCTGTCTGTGTTTGTTGCTTGTTTCGTCTTCATGTCAATCACTTGTCTTCCACTTCCAACAAACACAGCGCCTGGACAGATGCAGCTTTACTGTACCTGCATCGCCGTCACCATTAAGTCTCCCTGTTTCTGTGTTCTTTCTAAATGGTCATGACTGAGGCCGAGCCAAGGACAAATTGTCCCTATTGTCAGCTGCTGTGTGCCTGGCTGCATACAACAAAAAAAAACAGAGTGGCGAGAAAGACCGAGCACTCTGGTCTCTCCCACCGGCGAGATAATCATCCAACAGATCTCTTTTATCTAGTGCCTCCACATGGGAGGGCTTTCGTCCCCTCGCTACACCCGGGACGCTTTGTGCTGATGTCTGTGTGAGAGGCATTCATTGATAGCAGTCGCGCTTTTCTGTGGCAGACGTCCGTACATACAGCGTGTGTGCATGCATCTGTGTTGACAAGGAGCTTCAGGAGACAAATATATCCAGCTGTCAGCCAAATGCTAACTCTCTGCCCTTTTACTCACTCTCCATCTCTCCCCCTATTGTTTTATCGCGGCGGTAGTCGGTGTGTGTCCTGGTGGATTCACGGCCTCGATGGGAGAAAGTGTCGAAACAGAAAAACAAAAAAGGGGTTTTGTAAATATGAAAGGTTTGACCCACAGGAAACACACACACACACACATATACGCTGTTCCATTTCATCTGAGATAAAACAGATAGTTTGGCCGCAGCGCACCCAGCAGTCCAACCGCTGCTTTTTAAACAGACGAATTTACAGCAGGAAAGAGAAGTAACCTTGAACGTTTACCGTCAGCCTCCAACCAGGCACTCCAGTGTTTACTGCTGGCTGTAATGGCTTCTTTTACTCCCGTTTATATTGAGTCCTTCTCCTCTGGATGGGGGGAGTAAACAAATGTCATTCGCGACTTGCTCCGTGAGTGATTAGAATTTGTTTAACAGGACAAGCCGCAGCACGCGAAATGATATTTAATGGATATTTGATTTCAATCTTTGCAAGTGTTTGAGATTTATAATAAATCTTAAATAAATATGGTTTCAGCATTACGGGAGCAGGGTGCCTTTCAGCTGTTAGTCTCCCTGATGACTTGTCCTCTGTGTCTCTATTAAGCTGTTGTTCCAAGCGCTGAAAGCGGACCAGAGGCTGGGCGTTAATCATTAGAACAACACCGCGCCAGGGAACGGGTGTTATATGTGAGAGCCTTTCGCCATTTTCATTTTTAAACCTTCCCCCCCTCCCTCTCTCTCTCTCTCTCTCGTGCATATTCTTTCTTTCTTTTTTTTTTTTCCATCTAATCATCACTCTCTCCCCCCAAGTCAGGGTTATTAGTGGCTGGAGCCATAGGAGCTGAAGGTGTTGTTCTTGGCCTGAGAGGTAAATCACCACTGTTTATGTTGCTCCGTGGCTGATCATTAGCCCGGTTCACCCCCTTCCACCTCCATCACTGTCCCCCCCACCTCCTCCCCTCCACCTCCATTTTGTCCTTATGCCACACCGACAGAAGGGTTAATCGCCGGTGGAAAATTAACTCTTTCAACACTAAACCAAACATTAACCCGAAGCCTGTGGAGTGTTGGAAACAGATGGAAAGGCAGGTTTACATTTAGCCACACACATCCTGAGGCGCCGCACCACTGACATGGCATTTAGCATGTCGCCCATGACGTCACCCCGCCTCCCCATTTAAAGGGGGATGACACGGTGCTGATGGGACGGGGGACAGGAGGATGTAGGAAGGGGGTGCATTCTCCCTCTGGCTCCCCTCAAAGAGATTTGTTGTCTCAAGTTTCCATGAGGGCTGAGCGTGTGTGCGATGACACTACGTCTCCGTGCCAGATGTGACCTATGCCATCAGTGCCGTTCACAATGTGACCTCTATTAGGCCCCACCCGGCATGCACACACCTTAACAGTGTTTTCACAGGTGTGAGCCGAGAGTCAGAGCGCCCGCATCACGATGACTTGATAAACAGAGCCTCGGCATGAATAGATGTTTACAGCGTAACATGGTAGGCCTCCCTCCAGCAGGCTTAGTCATTCTGCTGAGTAACTCAGACGGCGATGAGCTTTTGTGTGAGTGTGTGTGAGTGGGAGGGAGGGGGGCTACCGGCGGCACTATCTCTGCCTCCTCGCCCACTTCAATGGGCCCTCGGCCAGCCTTGATGTGGCTCTAAGCAAACTGCAGAGCTGCTAAAAGAAAACATATGCTGTGCATGTGCGTGCATGCGTACACTTAAGAGGACGGCTCTCTCCAGAATCATTTGAGGATTTTAAGTGAGAGTCTGTCAGATGACAGGATAAACACAGCCCTCCATCGTCTGTAAAAGCAGCGAGATTTCGGTAGAGGGCAACGCGGCGTCAACTCAGTTTACTCAACTATCCGGGGCTGACATTACTGATTTTTATTCACGCTGGTGGTTGTTTTTCAAGTCAAGGTCACAGTTTGCCTTTTTATTCGCTATTTTATTTTTTGTCTGGAAGGCCTCTGTAGAGTCAAACACTACCAGCTTGCTAATCTGCTCCCTTCAGCTCAAATATTCCTCCCTCTCTGACTTCTCCCTCCTCTCTATCTCTTGCTTCCCCACCATCTCGCTCCTCCTGTCTCTTGCCAGACTTCAGCCAGCGGAGCGAGGCTGCCAATTTGCAGGCCATAAAATAAATAGCCCATGCTAATTAAGATGGTTGGATGGGATTGAGGAGTGGAGAGCGGTAGAGACTGATGTGGAAGCGGCCATAGAGAGCCGCAAAACAACCTGTTCTCTTCCAATTAGACACTTTGCAGGCTACCGCTGATAAAAGCCAGGGCTACCAATGCCAGAATTTTCAAGTGTGTGTGAAAGTGTGTTTACATAGTTTACAGCTTAAGTGGCAAAACCTGCACATATAAACACTTGTATAAGCGAGCATGTGATCCCAGAGGGGAATATGTGCTTACGTATGTTTGCTTTGTGAGTATATTTATCTTCCATGTGACCTCTGCTTGTGCTTAACCCGGGATGAAAGGTGCTACCAGTCCCCGAGGTTGCCTTCCAGTGATCCAGGCCTATAATCACAGTGATAAACAGCCTGCATTCTTTGCATTTCCCTTCATTGACATGCACAAGCGTGAGCCTCCCGTTCCTCCATCCGTTATCAGAGCATCTGTGTATCATCATTAACGTTACATGTGTTAGCCAACACAATGTTTTCCCAACTAATACCCTGCTTGTTGATAAGCTGTGCTAATCAGCTAGCTTTGTATCTCTCTTTCTGCTTGGTTCTCTCTCTCGCTCTAACAAACAGAGCTGTTAATTGATCTCAGAGCCCTGTTCTTGGCGGGAGCTGGCGCCGCAGTAGTCAAAACACAGAGTGAATTCAAAGCATAACGAGGGTCTGGATCCACTAAGGAAGCAATGGCACACCCATGGTGATCTTCTCCGCAGGGCCACAGCACTGGGTGCAAAACATTCAGATGAAAAAAAGTTCTGGTCCCTTTTTTTCCCCCCCAAGCCCTGATTTCTCTTTGGATTCAATCAGCAAAAAAGCACAGATTGTCATCACGCTCAAGCTCTGCAGTCCTGACTCTATCTCTGTCCACGCTTACATCCATATTTCTTGCTAGATCTGTATTTCCTCATATCTCAGCAGCCTGTGTTCAGCAGTTCCTCCCCTATCGCCAAAGGGCCCCTAACACGCCTCATTTATAATCAGTCCTGGCTAATAGATGAGACTGGGAAATACCAAGCTAATCATGGAAAGAATGTAGATTTAACCGGCCTATCAAGGGGAATGAGGCAGCATGCGCGGACGGGTTTGCGTATGTCGGGGTGGAGCGTCGCTTTGATCTCATAAATGGACCCGCACTCCACCAGCTGCCCCGTCGTGATGGTGACACGCACAAACCCCTGACACACAAACACAAACACACACTAGCCCAGATTAGAAGGAAGGAGGGACCTTGCCGGGCTATTCATCATGTCTCCGAGGTCATGGGGGGGCTGTCCCATAGACTGCTGCTAAGGTTAATTAATGAAAGTGGAGTCTGTAGCACCTGTCTGCCGACTAGTCACTCTCTAGATACGCTGTCCTCCTCCTTCTTCCTCCTTCCTCCGGTCCAAACAAAGGAAGGCAGCAAACCAACAGGAAATTCTCCCACTTGTTATGCTGTGTTCTGATAAGATAGACATCCTGCGACGTTGTGGTGGAACATACCTGATTCCCAGCTATAATTACACGCAGGTCCTATTTTTAGGTTGAACACTGAGGAAGGAACCTCACACTGATTGCATACCGCTGCAGCACTGAAGGTACCTCCTGAGCCTGAACCCTGCTAAGTGGATTGAATTCCCTTTCTCCACAATCAGCTTGTCAGCGGTTATAATGGCTGCTTCATACCCGAGCTGAGGATTGCCATCTGACAATAAAACCAACACTTGAAACAACATTTGTTAAATCAGTGCTTAGCAAATTATGCCCCTGCTTATTGTATAATAATTCACACCAGATAAAAACTGCTACAATTATGGAACATATGGGACTATGATTCATTGGTTTTGAATGAAGCATATTGCCTGCCATATTGCAATTGCATAATTTGATGCTCTGATGCCTTGACTGAATCACAAACAAACCATGAAATTAGACGGAGAGGCTCTTTCTTGCTTCATTATCAAAATTATTCCTCCAGTTTTCTTACTGTATCGGACTGTGTATGTTTGATAGATTTGGCTACGGATAAATGAGGAGCTCGTGCTAGTGTTCTGCTAACCTTAAACCAAGATGTCAGCAACTGCGACAAGAGGCCACATGAATCCCTTTTTAAATTCAATATTAGTGAAGTTAACAAATCAGATCATCACACAGAGGTCTGTCTTGTGGTGTCTTCACTTTCATGTTGCAGGATAACTTGAAACAGGAGGAGGACACTGTACTTTAAGACCAACATACTGGTCGGCCGATGCTGCTCTATTACAGAGATATCAGTATTGGTTGATGTGTTGTCTGATTTTTTATTTTTTAACAGGACATGGTGAAGAAAAAGATGTTTGGGGTCACATACTTTGAGCTCAGTCTGCAGCACATGTAGCAGAGAGCGCATCAAAACTGAGCAGATGGTGGTGCAGAGTCAAGCAGTGTCTTCACGGTAACTAGTTTGTAAAATACACCGCTTGTTTTGTATGAGCGGGACTCAAATTACTAAAGCCGTGTGGTAGAAAAACAGATGGGAAAAGCAGCGAAAGACCAAAGAAAAACTAAACATCACGAACGAAAACTGAAACGTTAGGGGAACTAAACTTTTTGGGACCGTTATTTTTAAAAAAAAAAAAAAAATGACATTACATAGCAGCAGGTTGCTTAGTTTTCACTAAGTTGAAGTTTTTTTTTGCAGATAGTGACGAGAAGTTTCTAAGGTACTAAATGGAAATTCTACAAATTCAATGACAGCTGGAAAGTCTTCATTTATTGAAAAAAATTGCAGTACATGATAAAAAAGCTGCTACGAAGTCAAGTCAGTAAGTTTTCTCAATCACTTTTCTTGTTGCTTTGGTGACAAGAAGCAAACATTCATAAAAAGTAACTTATGACTACAGCTCATATGTAAAAGTACAAAAATGTACAAGGCTGCACTTTTAGAAGTATATGAAACACAGCTCTGGTTATAAATAATTAATAGTTTCAGCGTCACGCCTTGTTTCAAATAACTGGAACAAGGCAAAAAAAACAACTATACCAGGTCACCCACCTGTCTTGAAGATCTCATATCGGATGGAGAAACCTGCTCCATGGGTCTCGTAGTCCGACACAAACTTGATGAAGAGCTGGTTTCCGGAGGAGACGACCGGAGAGGGGGCGATCTTCCCACAGTACTTCCCCACCAGCTGACCGCTCTCGTCCACACCATCTCTCACCTCCACGTAGTCGTACCTGAACAAATAAGAGAGCCGGCGTCAGCCCCACGGTGCCACATAAATCATTTTCTTCTTAGGTCTGGTACTCATTTTCTTTCTAAATAAGTTGGTGATTAGAATATTGCTGCTACTCGGGTTATGCTGCGCATGTAGGAAGACAAACAGCACACACACACACACACATTCTCAGAGGGCCACAAACACAGAGCAACACAGCATATTGTGCAGGTAATGTAGTGGAAATAAAACACTGTGTACTAATGAGGTCTCAGGTTAAAACTCAGAGAACAGGTGGGCAGGCTATGCTTTCATTATATCGACCTGACACACACACACACACACACACACTCTGCAGAGGTTTTGTGCTCCCAGCAGCACTGAGGTCAGGTTTATGTAACTGCTTTAACTACCGAACTTCAGCCGAACAGTTGTCTATCTCCTGTTTAACCACAGGATAACGCCCTCAGTGTGCGCGCGCGCTTGTTCTATAAGAGAATAAGGGACTCGAACGTAATTATATTTTGGCCTTTGGCTTAGGTTGGTGTATAGAAAGAGCAGGTGTTAAAGCTATTAAAAAAACACACACATACACACTCAAACATCACATTCAAATGGAATTTCAGACCCACGGCTATTGAAGGGAGCAGCAGCTTAATTGAGTCGGCGCAGAGTTTAGGAGCAGAAGAGGAAAACAGCTTTGAAATAGGACTGGGAACAAGAGCCGCGACACACACACACACACACACACACACACAGACACAGAATCTGGCAGGCGAAACTTAAGCTGGTAGAGGAGAAATCAGAGCGCTTGGCCAACGAGGGTGGTCTAAACAGCCTCTGGTTATCAGTGTGAGCGTGTGCGCTTTCAGGCACTTGTTAAAAGTGTACATTAAATGCGTTTGAGTTGTGGTTTTCACTCCAGTGCCTGCATGTGTGCGCGCGTGTGAGTTTGAATGATGGGTAGAGATGACTTTTCCGTGCTGTGTTTTGACTGTGAGTGACGGAGCGAGCGCTGTTCCAAAAGCAGATTTTGGTTCAGGTTTCCACTGTTCCTAATTGCCCATAACGTGAATTCCCGTGTTATTCTCAGCTCTGCAGGCCACTTATCGACTGTATTCCTACCCAAACTCTGACGGCCTGCGGCACGGGTCTTCATCAGAAACCAGAGGAAATTAAACGCAGTTCACACACAGAACAAACAGAAATGAATTTGGATGTATGCTTGTTCAGCAGGTGTGGGGTCACATTTAGTCACACACACGCTCTTTCTGTGTCCTCAGAAAATATGCACCCTCTGGGCAAAGAGGCCTATTTTCATAGTTTTGCTTGATTCCCAAATTACTGTCAAAACATCAGACCTCCTTAGCGATTCTGAACTCACTTAATGCATGGGATTTTGCACAAAAAGGCGATTTACACTTTGAATGATGGCTAGGGGGGGCTAAATCCCTCAGGTGGGACTTGACATGTATCAACATGCACCCTTTGCCACCTTTTTCTAGTAAATGGTTTCCTTCACCTGCCTCAGATTAAAAAAAAAAAGTATTTGTAAAAGAGAAATTGAATTACTGTGGGGGGATTTGGGGAACAGTATCTACTGGGTTTTCATATGCAAACGAATAAGGCAAGTACAGTGAGTCAGCCAGTGAGAGGGAAGGACGGAGTGCAACTGAATGTAGAGCTGCAAAGAAGTGGCAGAGAAGTGCGGTGGATGGATGACTTCACCCGTATTTCTGCTCATGTGGGGTGATCTGAGGTGATATGAAGCTGTCAAGAAGCATCAAGTATCTCCTCTTGCTCTCCGTCTGTCATTTAATTTTTTAGTGTCTTGGGTTAACGGTTTGAAAGCAAGAAAGCAGCTGTCTGTCCTAAAACCGGTGACTGCCAGCAGCCTCTGATAGCCAGTCCTTCAGTCCTTAAACCTCTTTCCAGGGTCACTTCCATACAGGCATTGTAGCTGCGTTACACTGTCCTCAAAATCTGACTGGAATGATTTGGTTTTCTTCCACTTGACTTCTTAATATGTTCTGAAATCTTTTGGGAGCTTCAGTCTTTTCGTTTCTGCTCCTATGTAATATCTCCACCAGGGTTGTTGGCGTCTCCTCATTCCTCGCATGACTGTGCTGCGATTCCAGACCAGGTCTTCTTCCCTCGTCGGACCACCAGCTGTAGCAACATCCCAGCTTTGGATTACACAAGTACCACTTTGGGTACTTTCGGCTACTTTATCAGCAGCAGCTCGGTAAAAAATACGAGTTTCACGTGGTGTTTACAGAGTTACCCTCCGCTGCGTTGTGGCCAAGCAGCCACGGAGTTCCTCATTAGTTAGTTTAAAGAGCTCCCCTGGCATCCGGATCTCTGTTGTACTGATGTCATGTCGTCCAGTTGAGTCACCACAGCAAATAGTTTGAAAAGTCCTGAGGTTATTTTAGTTACTGAAAGGAAGGTATGCGTACTCGTGTAGGCGTTTTCCTAATTTCATTTAAGATTTTGGTTGAAG